GGTCCGTCTGCAGGATGGTGTTGCCTGATTCACCGGCCGCAGCATTGGCAATGACCACGTCAAGGACCTCGATGCCGTGCTCGGACTGCAGCTTTGCTACGGCTTGGAAGGGCGCCCCGAGGTCGGCAGCGTCGAGGGCCAGGACAATCAGTCGTGACGAGTCGTGGCTCGGGAGCGTCGTGAGGGCCTGCGCCGCCTCATGGGCCGAATCGCGGACGCCGGCGATGACGGTCGTCGAGGGGCGCAAAAGGAGGGCGCGGACTATGGCATGGCCAATACCGCGGGTTGTGCCTGTGATGAGGTACGTTGTTGACATGGTAATGATGAGAGGATGGCGTTTGATACAAGTTCTTTGGTGACTTTTTCTAGTCAATGCATCTTCAGGGACGGCCGACGATCTCTATTTGTAGTCATGATCGTTGTCCAGACAGCCAGGATTTACTCGTCGTCCATGTTGGTAAGCGACATGGCACATGGTGTGGTGGTGCAGCACCTCCTGAATCCTCCGCAGATGACCCCTGCTCCAGCAACCACCGCCGACAAACCCGCGGCGATAATTCGTCGAGCAAAGTCCTGGGCGATCGGAGTCTATGCACAAAGCTGCCGCCAAGCCTGATGCGACGATAGATCTGTTCAAATTGGAGCATGTTCTGCTAGTGCTGATCATGTACTTACGATCGTAGGTCGAATCAAATCACCTCTCGCGACTGAACGCCCATTCAGCCTGGGCCAAAAGGCATGTCAGCGTAGCCTTGATTCCTTCAAAAAAGGATCCAGGGTGGGCCCATCGTGTCCAATGGTGGTCCCTTGGTAATTTGCCAGGCATACAGGTGGCACAACGTTCGAACGATACATCACTGGAGGAATTTCTAGCAAGCCTCCGAGGACCCGGCGCCTGAGAAGCACAGCAACTTACCCGGCAAACGGGGAACTCAAACTTTATTTCCCCACTCGGCCAACGTTGCGATCGGCCGGCCGGTTCTTCTCGCAACTCTGCAGCCGAGTTACAGCTTAGGCTAGGATTGCCGCAACAGGCACCAAACCCCGCGAGAATGAACTAGCTCACCCCCAACGTGGGTCTGCGTCGGCGAAAGCGGCTTTCGCCGTATCATCAGGTCCGAATCGGAGGTCAAGTCGGAATATCGAAGTGACAACATAAATTACCGATCTCTCTTCCCTGGTCTTGACCCTCTAACAATGATTGTGAAGACTTCTCAAGCATGGCGACAATAACGTCCACAACCCAGACGGTGTCCACCGTGTCCCTGGAGGCGCGTAATACATCTACGGGAGGTCAAAGGCTGTCGCTCAACAGGCCAGACATCGCGGCAAGTCGGACTTTCCCGTCGGTTTACTCCCGCTTCAGTAAAACACAGAAACGCTCGACCACTTACACCACGGCTATTGGCGGGCTTTTAGCTTCCATGTCCACGACCAGCGTCTTTGCTGCTGTTCCCGAGATCACGTCTGCTTTCGACACAACACCAACGGCCATCAACATCAGCAATGCCATCTATCTCGTCGTCATGGGGTTGGCCGCCTGTTTCTGGGGCCCGTTGTCGGATGTCTTTGGGCGAAGGACGGTGCGTAGGGTTGAGCTATGCAGAAGACTGGTTCTATACAGGAGGCTTACACTGCCAGGCTTACATTCTGAGTACCCTCTTGTTCTTCGCCTCTTCGATCGGCACCGCACTGTCGCCGAGTCTACCAGCCTTCTTCTTCTTCAGGTCACTTACAGCAGCGCAATCCACGGCGTTCCTCGTGCTTGCATCGAGCTGCATCTCTGATGTTTTCCATCCGGTCAGTCAAGTGACGCACACTTTTCGACGACATGCATCTGATTGAATGTAGACGGAACGCGCGACAGCCATGGGATGGTTCCTCCGAGGGGTCGCCTTTGGTCCCGCCTTTGGCCCCATTCTCGGTGGCATCATCGTCACCTTCACCTCATGGCGCGTTATCTTTTGGGTGCAATCCGGTCTTAGCGGCGTGGCCTTTCTGCTTGTAGCGTTTATGCTGCAGGAAACCCTGCTGCAAACCCGGCACGCAGAGCTAAAAGGGTCAAAAGCCTGGTGCCGCAGCGAAAAAGTTGTGGCAGTGGTCCAATCCCTCGACCGTATTCAGGCTTCTTGGTCATGGAAACCTCTTTCTTGCGGTGAGTCTTATGCTTGGCTGGGAAGGCGACATTGTGGTGAGCCACAATCCACAAGAACAAGTAGGTTGACGGCCAACGCGTCTAGGTCTTCGCATCCTCGGCCGTCGGGTTCAACATGTATTCCCTCTTGACCCCGATCCGTTACATTCTCAACCCCAGGCTCGGGCTCACGACGCCCCTGCAGTCGGGTCTGATCTACTTGGCCCCGGGAGCGGGCTATCTCGTAGGCACAACACTCGGCGGCCGCTGGTCCGATCACAATGTTAAGTCGTGGATCCATCGACGCGGCTTCCGGTTGTGGGAGGACCGTCTGCGCAGCACGATTTTCTTCATGCTCGGACTCTTACCGGGCTTCACCCTCCTGTACGGCTGGTCGGTTCAGAAGGGCTGGGGCGGCATCGCGCTGCCTGTCATCTGCCTGTTCGGTCAGGGGGTGTGCCAGACCACGACGTTCCCGAGCTTGAATGCATACATCCTCGACATCATGCAGGACCAGAGTGGGAAAGCCTCAGGTGCGTGTTTCCGTGGCGTGCGTGGTGGAGGCCAGGCAGACTGACTGTCGTTCAAACAACAGCGAGTCACTACATGATGAGATACTGTTTCTCGGCGCTAGCAACGGCTACCGTCGTGCCCATGATCGACGCAATTGGTGTCGGTTGGACTGTGTGTATCTCGTCCGCCATGGTGTTCTTCAGTGGATGCCTCATCCTGGTGGTCATTCACTTTGGCGGGTCTTGGAGGGGCGCTGGCGCCGGCGCTGGGAGGAGTACGAGCATGGGTATGGGCACAGGTCGGGCTGGGGGCCAGCCAGTCTGAACTCGAGGATTGAAAGGATATCTTGAGGTCATATTGGTGAAGGGGGTGGACGATCAATCGGCAAAGCGGCATCTTGGAGCTGCCGAGGAAAGGCTCCGTCACTAACGTACTCAGGAGAGCCTCGCGTTGTGGAGTATCCAGCTCAGGAGCCTGTCAGCCTGTACACTCTAATGACTGACCCTCCTTCGTCTCTGTCTTCCGAAGCGTGGATTCATCCCTTATAAAGATCCCCCACCCCGCTGATCATTGACTACTACAACTCTCGTGCACTCCCCAATGACCTCGAAAGAATGAGCGAGCGGTTCGACAGCATGGTCCTGCACCTTTGGTCGTCGCTCGAAGCACTGATGGGACGCTCAAGGGCGATGTCAAAGAGACTCTAATGATGGACCGCCCACCGACGATAGCGGCCTCATGCAGACGAGTTTTGGATCAGATCAAAGCAGTGGAGCATCTGCTCACTGTCGATACCGTCGACAATGACTTCCAAAGAGTTCACCGGAGCCAAATATCTGAGATGCTCAGATCACTGCGCGAGACCGTCAGTCGATTAGGAGACCAGGATCATATGCGCTGCCTGGGGCTGATGGTCCCCTGAGCTTAACAGCTTTCATCGTCGACAAGACGAGATCCAGTCTACTCACCTACGAACAAGGCGTTCTCGAGCCAACGCAACGTCAATATGACATGTCTGATTCATTGGAATCGGAGATCTTGCAATCATTGAAAGTCGGCCAAGGCGAACTCGACATCGTCTTGGATGTGTGCACGCTTTATTTCGACCCAGTTTCTTAGCAGCTTTTTCCCGACTACTGCCCTGCAGGTCTTCCTCACGTCTGTTGGGCTCTGAAGAGCCCCTGCGGGTCTGGTTCCTGGGGGGTGAACAAGACGGAGATCTTGTTGAACGTGGCTCGGATGCGAGGTCTTCTCATCACAGCACCCATAGTGGCAGCTTCCAACGACCTCTTGCCAAACTATCCGCCATCCTACACCGAGGCCATACAGACAAATTCACCACCGTCAGTTACAGGAACACACAGCGGCATTAAAACCTTCAAAGATGAGAAGCCTCGGAGAGGAAACAAGAGAGACGATGCCCTCCCCGAAGTGACACGTCCTGAATAGAGCAAAAGGCCAGGCACCTCCGAGGCAGGGCCGAGTCGGTGTGGTCTCAGCCATTGGACGTCAGATTTGAGGGATGCCTGGGCTCATGCCTTCTCCGACGCCATGGTGATTGGTATCGGCGCGGAGGATACGTGTAGGCTCTCGAGAGAAGGGAGGCTCCTCAGAACCTTGGCATCCAAGACTGCATCCCGTGAGCTCCGTATTCGTGATCCTCGAGTGGTCATTTCAACAAGATGAGCTCAGTCGATGGCCCCGGATAGCAACAGCGCCAAGCAACGAGATCAGTCGCCAATCGATAAGACTTCCACCTTGTTTGTTACAGCCCGAAGCAATGTCAGCCACCCATGAAAGGAATACAGCTCTTCACCGTTCCGTACGAGACAAGTGGCGCCAGTGCCTGTTGGCAGATGATGAATTTCGAGTGTCCGCTAATGGTGGCCTCTTCGGCAGACACGTCTGCCCGATCTGTTGGGCAGCGTATCTCTGGATTTCATGAGCTGCAATTGAGGTCGATCCAGATCCATAACGAACAGGGCCAAGTCGCAGGGACAATGTTCTTTCGGAGCCTCCGGCGTCTGCAATATGGACCAAAGTCTACCACGAAATTCCCGACACTTGGGCTCTATCTTCCGATCTATCGCCATGCCTTGGGGCCACCTTGGGCCACTATGACCAAGTTCGCCCTGCGGTCTTCCGTATGCGGGGTCTCGCGGCCGACTCGGTCCCCGGAGGAAGCGATCTACAAGACAGACTTACACCGCCCCGCGCGGAGATGAGACGACATGAATAATGGAGATGAAATCCTTCCACTTCTCAACAAGGTCATATTCCCGCCAGCAGTGGCGCACCGCCCTCAGAGCTTCAGCGACGCAACCAAACCAAACACATACCACAACAGCGCAACATGTCGTTTAGTCCTCTCCTCATCTGGGCTCTCGCGACCATTGCGCGGGTGGACGAACTGACGAGACGCCAGGTATCAAGTATGAGGACCTGGCGTACGGCGCCGCCAACGGTTTTGCAACCATGGGGACCAACAACGGCCATAATGGCACAAAATCATAAAGGCTTTCTACGACAAGAAACCTGACCATTCGTACTTCATCGGATGCTCCCTGGGCGGCCGCATGGGTATCAAAGCTGCAGAGCTCTTTCCCGAGGACTACGATGGCATCGTCGCCGGTGCGCCGACCGTTAACTTTAACCAACTTCAAGGCGCGCGAGCCTTTTTCTACACCGTGACTGGCGCCGCGGACGGCATTATCGAGGTTCCAAATAAATGCCACTTTGACCCGCAGGCTCTGTTGTGCAAAGCGTCAGAGGTCCAAGGGTGTCTGAACGAAGCCCAAGTCCAGCAACTCGAGAAGATCTACGCACCGTACGAGTTCCCCGACGGAGAGCCCATTTTCCCACGCCTGAACCCGGGAGCGGAGAAGAGAGCCGTGGATCGACTCTTGTCTGGCCTGCCGTTCACCACCTCAGTTGTACGTACCCCCTCCGACTCTGGTTGCCTATCATGGTGATGGCACTTTAGCGCGTGCTCGGTTGAGCAACAATACAGGAATGGTTTCGCTACGTGGTCCTCAGCGACCCCGCCTGGCAGCCCGAAGACTACACCTCCGCTCTCGTCCGCACGGCCGAGGCCATAAACCCCTTCAACATCCGAACCTATCCCCGCACCCTCCCCGGCTTCAGGGCCCGCGGCGGCAAGCTCATCACGTACCACGGCGGCCAGGACCAGCAGCTCACACAGTTCGGCACCGAGCGCTTCGTCGAGCGCATGGCCCGCGGCGACGGCCGGCTGGGCGACTACCACCGGTACTTTCCCATCTCGGGGATGTTCCACTGCAGCGCCGGGCCGGGAGCCTGGGTTCTCGGCCAGGGTGGCAACGCTGCCGCGGCGGGTATCGGTTTCGACGCCGAGAGCAATGTGCTGGCGGCGGCGGTCGCCTGGGTAGAGGAGGGCCGGGCCGGGCGCCCGAGGTGCTACGAGGGACCAAGTTCGTGGATGATGCGCCGGCCAAGGGTATTGACTTTCAGCGCGACCACTGCGCCTGGCCTAGGCAGCAGACATTCCTGGGCGGCGATTACAAGAAGCCTGAAAGCTGGAGGTGTGTCTAGCAGGGTAGAGCAGGTCCCAGCACACTGGGTGAGGCGCGATTTTGACATCTCGCATTCGATTTATATATTGGCCTCAACTGCTGGAGCATCTTATCGCAATGTTCCTGGTCACAAAGTGCTCGCCCGTTCTGGGGCCAGCAGAACCACCCAGGTCTCGGCCAGGGGACCATGTCTATAGACCGTATCTGTTTCGACGAAGGATTTGGCTATCTGATTATTTTCAGCATTAGCCTAAAGCCCTCTGAAGCTATCGACCATGGCCGTAACGTGATATCCAACCTATCTCCTCAAGTCCGAGATGGAACACACCGCAAGCAAAGCATTGCGGCCTGAGGTAGTGCTTACCTGCCGCTAACATGATCATCTTTCCAGTCGCTCACCGCCGCCGGGCTCACGCAGAATAAGCTGGACAGCTCGCCGCACCAAAGGCAGTTCAACGACGATGAAGATGATCGTGACCGGCGCCAGCGGCTTTGTCGGCTCTGAGATCATCCGCCAATGTCTTCAGAATCCTAAGATGACCACAGTCGTCGCCGTGGCTCGCAGGCCCGTGTCAGTACCCGATGACACGCCTGCGTCGAAGTTCAGGTCGGTGGTCGTGTCAAACTACGACAACTACCCAGAAGACGCTTGGAAGGAGTTTTCGGGCGCAGATGCGTGCATCTGGTGAGCTCGCGAGATCCCCGAGAGATACGGCGGTCTTCCCCCACCCCCCGATCTCGAATTCATGCCTCGGGGCATCCTCGTTGCTGATCGCTCCTTCGCGCTGCTACAGGACCGTGGCGGTGACGCCGGCGAAGACGAAAGGAATGACCCCCGAGGACGTCCGGAAGGCATGCCACGACTACACCTTGGCAGGCCTGCAGGCGATCTGGAGCTCCGAGCCCCCGCGGCCCTTTCGATTCCTCTACATGAGCGGCGCCGTCGCCGAGAGGAACCAGTCCAAGCAGCTGCCATGGGTCATGGCCGAGTACCGTCTGATGAGGGTACGTCGATCCCACGCACGAAGCGCCCCCCCGGGCGTCGTCGTCTGCCGATCCCATTCCCCAGAAAGTCCTCTGGCGCTGACGACATGCCTTGGGCAGGGTGAGACGGAGAACCAAGTGCTGCGGTTCGCGGACCAGCACGAAGGCCTCGAGGCCTGCGTCGTCAGACCCGGTTTCATTACCAGCTGCTCCACCGCTCTGGGCTCGGCCGCCGCGGCAGCGCTCAGCGTCGCGGTTGTGGTTCCGAACACTGCTGTGGAGACGATCGCGGCGGCTCTCGTGCACCAAGCGGTGGCCGGGTTCGAGCAGGAGACATTGAGGACGAGCAATCTAAAGCGGCTAGGGCGGGCTGCGGGTAAGATTTGCATGATGTGAACCAAGGGGGGGGTCCGGCTCTTTTTTTTTCAGCGTGAGATGGGCCAGATTGGGACGTTGTCGTGTTCCGTTGTCTGGCGTCGCTCTGTCAGGGTGTCTCAGCCCGGAACCCCCCATTTAAGGGGCCGGCCGAGACCAGCGGGGGGCGAAGGCCGCGGCGCCCAACACGGGGTTCAGCAATGTTGCCAGTGGGTGTGGTTGATGTTGTGATTTCTTGTCACGGTTCTTTTCTTGTCTTGACGAGATGTTGTTTATACAAGGGCCGCGTTTGCCAAGCTTGTGTTGTGCTGGTGGGATCAGGACCTTTGCCTAGGTTTGTTACATCTGGGCCGTCAGGAACACGGAGCATCCAGGCTATGCTCGATACCGAAGAGATGGACTACAAGATAAATGATAGTCCATGACCTTGATCGCATCAAAAGAGAGGCACAGTATGGGGGCGGGCGGCAAAAGATTGCTGGGTGTCTTGCCCAGCGTCTCCTTGAGCAGGGAGAAAAGTTTGGCCCACCATCATGTCCATGACGAAAAGCAATATTTTTGGACTTCCAAGCCGAGACATAGCAAAAGGTCTTGCCCGCTGTCTCAATCATCTAGCAACCTCCCTTCAGGAGGTTAAGAGCCTTCAGGAGGTTAAGAGGATGTCTCCTGGCCGTGACGATTGAGTATATAAGAGGCAGACAATCAAGCTCAGTTTGGGTTCTGGATTCTCATCATCAGCTCACATTCCTTCCCTCAACACTCAACAGACCTTTCATACCAACCTCTACCACCACCACCAACCAAACCAAACCACCTTCAAAATGCAGTTCACCATCGTCGCCGCCCTTTTCGCCTCGGTCGCCATGGCCGCCCCCGCCACCCTCCACGCCCGTGCCACCGTCTGCCCTACCGGCCTCCTGTACGGCGTCGCCCAGTGCTGCGCCACCTCCGTCCTCGGCGTTGCCGATCTGGACTGCTCCGTCCGTAAGTGTCACCTCCCCCGCTCCGCGTCTATCTCTTCTGCCGCAGCGACTACGCCATGCATCTCCGCAGAGAGGATCGAGCACACCCGGCTAACGTTGACGCTCTCTTCTCCACTGCAGCCAGCAGCACCCCCTCCGACGGCGCCGACCTCAAGAGGATCTGTGCCGAAAGCGGCGCGGCGGCCATGTGCTGCAGCATCCCTCTCGCCGGCCAGGGTGTCCTCTGCACTCCCGTCATTGGTTAAGCGCTGCATGGGCGGTACATTAGCAACCCGGCAACGGTTGAATCTGGACACAAACACTTCATTTCTTGGGAGACAGTATTGGTTGTGTGACTTAAAGACTGTGGCCCTCAGAGTATAGAGCTCTCTGGTGCTCAGATAGACGGTTCGGTGAAATAATAGTTGGTGTTGATCATAAGTTCTGACTCAATCGTGTGATTTGTATGCGGCGCAATTCTACTTGCTGTTATGGCCTCCAGACGAGTCCATGTCTTTTTCATGTTCCCTTTGATTATTCTCTGCAATGGAGCCTCGAAAGTAACTGAGTACTGAGAAAAGCAACCTCAAGTAGCTCAGTTGCTCGAACAGACCCGAAATTTATGCCATAAAACATTCTGTAACGTACCAAATTATTGTTTCGATATAGAAAAGAGGTTAGTGCTCCGATACATAGTCTGTACATCGTCAAGCTCTTTTCTAATGTCGGACACATCAACTCACAAAAATGTCAGTACGAACCTGTGTCCGCCTATCTATTATTCTGAGCAGTAAACGTCTCGTAGCCAAGATGATCTGCCCATAGCCATACTTGACTCGCATCAGCAAGCCCCTGATCCACCAAGACTGAAAGGTCGCCATCCCAATCAAACGTGGTGACCGGCTCGGCTGAACCACTGAGAACTGGCGCCCCCGTCGAAAAACTGAGCTGTTGCAGGAGGGGGACAGGCGAGGGAGGACGGCTCGCTGATCCGGGAATATGCTGCGTAAAGACTTGACGACTATCAGTACCAATGCATCAGCAGCACTTGACTTGGTCTCACCTTCTTGAATAGGATGTAGCGAGCCTCCGCTTCTATCTGGGATCAAATGTTGGTTTGAAATGACTGGCGCAGTCGCGGACGCTGTTCCCACGGTGGAAGCAAAAGACGTTGGCCTGTTCGGAACAAGACCGACCCTCGCCGTGATGAGCTCCGTTTCCTGACGTAAAACTACCGTGACGAGACTGTCCAGGATGTCGAGACTCTGTCTGGAGATCAAATGCTGGCTGGAGGTTGGCGAGTCCGCCGCGCTACGACACATGCGTATAATGTGCATGACGCCAGTCTTGGCCCGATTGCCTATATCTGTCAGCGGCCGGGACAGGCGGATGGCGCAGAGGACGACACCAGCGGTGAAGAGAGTGATGCCAATGTGCATGGCGGCGTGGGTACGTCCGGATGCCTGCAGGGCAGACGAGTACCGATACAGCTCAGAGGTATCCATGGCTGAGTCCAACAGCTGCTGGAGAGATGTGCTTCCTCCTCCTGTCATTCTCAGCTCGTTCAGCTGCCCATCGTTCTCAAAGGCGGCCGTGCGATGTAGAATGATTTGTAGGTTATCATACGTCAGCTGCAGATTGAGCGCCTGCAGCTGAAGTAATGAAGATTGTTCATCTTGAGCTGCGTAGCTTGCCAATTGCAGCTCTTTGGGTAGCTCATGGCGCCACTGCAGCATCTTGGTGTGGATACTCTGGACCGTGTTGAGGCTCTTACTCTGTCCCCGCCGCCCCAGGAATGCGCCCATGATCCTGTAGAGGCTCCTTCGGAAGGGTATCGAGGGCAACTTGGGAGACAAGGGATGGGGAACTCGAGTGATCTACAGCTGGCGTCACGGCGGCCGAGCTTTGGTTAGCGCCGTCTGGGCAGGAGCGGCCCAAAGTTAAGGTTCGGCACTACCTTCCGCCTGGCAAGGATGCCCGATCCCTACTGCCCAGTAGCCTCCCTACTGCCCAGTAGCGGTCATCTCGCCGACAGGGAAGGCCCGGGAAGGAGCTGCTAGTCTCCCGCTCCTTCTCGATTCTCCCTGGAGCTTGGTGGCAGGCAATTACGTCCAGGACATACTGTACATGTACATGTATATGTACTATCTAGGTAGCTACCCCTCCTTTGATGCAGATTTGATGTAGAGGTTTAGCATCACTTTGTAGGGTTAGGGTCAGGAATTACGTCACTGAGTAAGGTCATTCTGAAGGCAATGAAACAATATCCTCATGTGAAGCCCCCTTGTTTTTTTTTTGTTTTTTTTTTTCATTATTTCTACTTGAGATCCTTTTGCCCCCCTGCCTACTTGCTCGCCACAGCCTCGAGCAGCGTCTTGGCGGCCAGCTTGCCGAGGTTGTTCGAGGCCAGCGGCGAGTCGCCCGTCAGCAGCAGGCGGTCGCGGTGGACCTCGCCGGTGATCTGGCTGTTGATGGGCTCGACGCCGAGGGCGCGCAGGCGCTCGCCGACGAGCCAGGCCATCTTGCCGGGGATGTAGCCAATGTCAATGTTGGCGCCCTCGTCGAGCGAGTCGGGGAAGACGTCGACCTTGTAGCCCTCGTAGATGTACCGGGACCCGGCGGGCTTGCCGACGTCGGCGGCGAGCATGCTCGCGGGCCCGTGGCACAGCGTCACAAAGAAGCGCTCGTGGGCGTGGGCCCAGCGCAGCACGTCGCCGACGGTGGCCGAGAAGGGCACGCCGTTGAGCACGCCGTGGCCGCCGGGGATGAAGACGGCGAGGTACGGCGTGTCGGCGGTGAAGCCGCGGCCCCAGACGTCCTGCAGGTTGAGCGGGTTGCGGATCTTGTCGCGGTACTTGTCGTAGATGGCCTGGACGGCCTTGTCCTCCTTGGGGAACGCCCACATTTCAAACTTGACGGGCTCGCCCGACAGCGTGGCAATGTCAATGTCGAAGCCGGCGGCGTCCATGTGCAGCATGGGCAGCAGCATCTCGACCGGGTGGTTGCCCGTCGAGAAGAACGAGCCGTCGGCCATCTTGAGGTAGCGCTCCTGGGTCGCGATGAGGAGCACCTTCCACTTGCCGCCCTTGTAGGCCGTGGCCGCGTAGTCGGCGTCGCCCTCGGCAAAGTCCGTCTTGGGGGCGACGTACTGCGTCAGCGAGTATGGTGAGGGGAACCAGGCGTCGTCTTCGGCCTGGTCGGCGACGGGCTTGCGGTCGTTGGACATGATGGGTGGTGGTGGTGGTGGTGTTGTTCTCTTCGCAGTCAGTTGTCTGTGTCAAATTGCGAGCAAGACGGCGAGAACATCAGGGTTCAGCGACAGCTTTATATACACACCAACCGTACCTACCTACCTACCCTGACACAGCCGTATCCAGGAGAAGCAAAGCCGCGCTGGGAGCAAATTTCGAGCTTACTCTTTGGGGCACATGTGGGTGAGTGACGTTGACGGCACTGCGGGGTCGTTGTCGTCTTCTGCTCTCTGGAGTCTGGCCAAGGCTTGTCCTGGAACCTGGCCGTTTCGATGGGTACAATGCAATACAATAGGCGGCCATGGCATCTTCAGCGCCTCCATCTAGTCCCGTTCCGACGGAACATGACTTGTACCAAGTTGGAACGAGTTGGCACAAGGCGTAGGGAACCAGTCGCGATGGTTTCTGACCCTCGGACGGCAGGTTTTGCCAGGGTAAGCTTCGACGCTAGCCCCGGCATCTGGGTTCTGTTAAGGCAGACCCAAAGGCTGATGGGGGGGGGGGGGGGGTTCGCGCTCTCCGGGCCAATGGGCTCAGGGCTCAGGGCTAGGGCCAGGGCCAGGGCTTGATCGAGCGCTACGATGCATCGGCTGAGCGCTACGATTTAGCGGGTTTTGGGGGACTTGCTTGACATGGTGCCTCCTGGTGCCTCCTGGTGCAACCTCCCTCAGCCGCCCCACACAAGCTGTGAGCTATACCTGTAGTACACCACCAGAGACCACCCACGTACATATACAGCAACGTACAACACCAGAGACCACCCACGTACATATACAGCAACGTACACCACGCCAGTCATCACGGCCTTATCTTGAACCTGCTTAGAAAACCCTAGGTGGGTAAGCCCATCCACCTCCGACGGAACTCCACCCCCATGGCATCGTCCCACCCCGAACATGGTCGGCCACGTCGAGCCAGCCCACGACGGAAACGAAGCATGCTTGCGTCACAAGGCAGGTCTACATGGTACTGCCACACCCCGACTGCTTCGTCATGGCCTCTCTCTCCGTCAGAGCTAGCTTCGGACGCCCCTATCTTGGAGCTGATTCGCCTCGACACGCCTGAGACCCAAAGGCTCGCCCAAACCGCCGTAAGCAAGATGCAGACCTGAGCTGTTGATACCACCAGCTGGTTCTGCACGCTATTCACATCACCGCCGCCCCTCCCCCTACCCCGCACACATGGCCACCGACTACGAATTCGAAGGATGGATGGGCGAGGATGAGTCCTCTGCCGAGGGCAACATGGTCTGGCAGAAGTACGAGCCTAAGACCTGGGAGGAGACAGATGTCGACATTCGGATCACCCACTGCGGCATCTGTGGCTCCGACATGCACGTCCTTCGCTCTGAATGGGTAAGCCTACTCGACGTCTACGCCAACGCCAACACAGGGACTGAACACAGGGACTGCAGGGCTGACCCCGTTTTCGACCACATGCAGAGGCAAGCCCCCTACCCCGTGGTCGTGGGCCACGAAATCGTCGGCGTCGGCGGCCTCGGCCACTTTGCCGTGCTCTTCGCCAAGGCCCTCGGCGCCGACGACATTGTCGGCATCTCGCGCAGGGCCAGCAAGAAGCAGGAGGCCCTCGACCTCGGCTGCACGGATTACATTGCCACCGCCGACGACGAGGGCTGGGAGACCAAGAACGCGCGCAGGCTGGATCTCATCATCTGCACCGTGTCGTCCGCCAAGGTTTGTCGCCCTGTGCTCGCTCAGAGCCGCTCTACCCGGAAGCCGACGAGTGCTGAACAAAGCCGCAGATGCCCTTTGCCGGATACATCGGTCTCCTCCGGCTGGACGGCACGCTTGTGCAGGTCGGTCTTCCCGAGGGCGAGCTGCCGTTTCGCCCTGGCGTCCTCACCGGGGCGCGACGCCGTATCGCCGGCTCCGGCATCGGCTCGCCCAGTGAGATCAGAGAGATGCTGCAGCTGGCTGTCGACAAGGACGTCAAGCCGTGGGTGGAGGAGCGGCCCATGTCCGATGCGAACCAGGCCCTTGTTGATTTCGAGGCCGGCAAGCCACGGTTCCGCTACGTTCTGACAAACTAGGTCATATACTCTGCATGCGGAACCCATAGGCACAGGCTTTAGCAGTGCCGGTATCTTGTAATAATACGAAAGACAATTGTACTTGGTTGTAGTGTCTTGCCTGCGGTGACGGGTTTCCGAAATCAAACGTCTCGGAGCTGATGGCTTTCGTTGCGAGGAAGACACTGCAACCTCCTTGAAATCCATGTGTCTTTTGAATTCGGACTGACCTATAAAACAGGAGGGAACCATGTGCCGGTGGTTGACTTGGGCATCCTAGGAGGACATCGAATCGACATCTACAGCGTACGTCCAATTGTGTCTGGCCGTCTCTCTGTTAACCCTCTTCTAGCCCTTGCGGTTCAAAAACAATAGTGAACTTTAAGTCACAGGCTTGGTGTTTCTCGGCACGAACGGCTGCTCATTATAACTCTGTGAAGCCATCGAGCAGTACCATGATCAAGAGCACTTTGCCGCTGCCCCGCCTCCTACATCATAAAGCCTTTCGATTCCGTGCTGCAGCTTCACAGTATTTGCTGACATCGAACGCCCACGGTCGGCAACTCGACATCAAACGATCATGGAGCGACATGAATTTCATCGAGCAATGCATCATGATCAGGAGGAATAGTAGCACCAAAAAACCAGTCGCCTCCTGTTGTACTGGTGGCGACGAGATCTTCTTTTCGCCAGTATTACAGAAGCCCAAGGCATACCACCTACGGGTCGACGACTCATGCGCATCTGATTTGCCTCACACTGCCAGTCGCCGCATGCCGCGCACATTGAGTTACACGATGGATCTCAGCAATGCAGTCAAGTGGATATCGCCAACCCACACCAGCAAAAGGCGTATTCACTGCGCCGTATCGCGGGAAATGCCGACATCGGTCTCCGCCGCCTGCGGTCTCAATTCTTGTCTTGAGCTTCACAACAGTGTCGGCCTAATACTCAATTACTCTGGTCAATCGGTTGAAGAGCCAGCGTTCACATGACACTCTGAAGATGGCGCAACGCCAGGCATCAAATATACCGCCAAGCGGGCCACCGTTCTCCAAGGTCAGCATGGTGATCCCAGACGCAAGTCACAGCACAACTGACCGTCCCCAGCGCAAGAAGCTCTTCATCACAACAACGGCAACGTGGGTGACGTGGAACAGCAATCTCGGCTCCTCGCTCCCGTCCAACGCGGCAACCGCCATCCAGGTCGACCTCAGCATCGCGCGCGGGCCGCTCGTCTGGCTCAACTCGCTCTACATGCTCGGCTACGCCGTCGGGCCCCTCCTCTTCGGGCCCCTGAGCGAGCACATTGGCCGGCGGCCCGTCATCCTGTACGCCTACGCCGGCTACATGCTCTGCACCATGGCGTGCGCCCTGAGCGACCGCTTCGCCCTGCTGCTGGCCTTTCGCTTCCTGACGGGCTTCGTGGCCTCGGCCCCCAACGCCACCGTCGGCGGCCTGCTGGCCGACGCGCACCCGGCGCAGGCCGAGAGGGGCCGCGCCATGGCCTATTTCACCTGCGCCGCCGTCGCCGGCCCGCTGTTCGGCCCGCTCGTGTCCGGCTTCGCGCAGGGCCACTCGTGGCAGCTCGTCTTCTGGGTCGGCTTTGCCATTGCCGGCGTCGGCCTGCCGCTGCCGCTGCTGCTGCCCGAGACGTTTGCGCCCGTGCTCGAGAGGCGGAGGGCTCGCGCCGCGGGGGAGGCCGTTCCCGGGTCGTCGGAGAAGAGCCTCGCCGCCGAGCTGAGGATCGTGTTCACGCGGCCGGCTGTCATGATGGTCAGGGAGCCGATTGTGCTGTGGACGGCGCTGTACCTTGCTCTGGTGTATTCCATCCTCTATCTGTTCTTCCAGGCGTACCCTGTGATTTTCCAAGGTACGTGCCCCAGTTTTGGACGGTTCTGCCCTTTGGGGGAGTGGCTTCATCGCTCACGTCACATTCTCCCAGGCGTGTACGACTTGTCACCGGGCATGATCGGCCTGGGCTACCTGCCGAGTACGTTGACCCAGCAGACAAGTCCTGACTGTCCACACGACATGCTGACGCGCCGCCGTAGTCCTCGCCGGTATCCTGCTGGCCCTCGCCGGCGTCTTCCTCTACGACGCCCAGCTCGCCCAATACCAAGCTAGAGGCTCCCGCTGGGCGTCCGACGAAACGCATCGCCGCCTGCCGCTGGCCTACATAGGCGGGCCCCTGTGCGTCTCTGATCCGCGTCCTCCCCCTTTTCTTGTCGGGCATGTCTGCCGAGCATCTGTCAAGCCTTTCAAGCACCAAACCCGCTAACCCCCCACAACAGCGTCACCCTCGGCCTCTTCTGGCTCGGCTGGTCCTCCACCGGCACAATCCACCCCGCGCTGCCCCTGCTGTCCGGCCTCCCCTTCGGCGCGGGCTACATGCTCATCTTCGTGGCCATGGTGAACCACCTGTCGGACGCGTACCGCGACTTCTCGGCCTCGGCCCACTCGGCCGCCAGCACGACGCGGTCCCTGGCCGCCGCCTTCCTGCCCGTCGCCGCGGCGCCCATGTACGCCGCGCTCGGCGTGCCGTGGGCGTGCTCGCTGCTCGGCTTCGCGGCCCTGGCTCTCAGCGCTGTGCCGTTGATCTTTGTCCGCTTCGACGCGGCGATTCGCCGGCGGAGTCCGTTTTGTCGGGAGCTTGCGGGGGGGTGATTGGCATGTTGCGGGGGGGTGATCGGTATGCTGTCGCGTGCTGCGTTGCTAGATAGAGCGGTGGACCATCTGCGGTTCAAATGCCCTGTGTTCCAAAAGGAAGCATATGAACCGTGTCACACTTTGACTGTTTTTTTTTTCATGCGGCACATGTCGTCTGCTCTTTTCCGTGATTGCAAAGCTGGAGCTGCCAGCGCATGACAGCAGAGGACGTCCTCGACAAAGATGCCAGTGTGGACGGTGCGAGTTGGACAGGTGCTGTTGACGACTGACAAGTGACCCGTCTGCCACGGACAAACAGAAGATGCTCAACAGGTCTGACGACAGCGAGCACGGAACAAGACCTGCCCCGCGCCGAAAGGGATGGACCCGGCTACAGGACACATTTTCCGACATCACTCGCTCGGCCGTAGCCGTGAGCCACCGACACAGTACAAAGGCTCCCAGATCGACAGGATCAATCCTTCTGGCAAGGACAGAAATCAAAAAATGTCATACATCAGGCACCTATACAGCCTATGATACATCATGACGCCACCGCGTTCCCATGACTCCCCTGCCTAGAGCTTCGAGGACTTGGGCGCCTTGGGCCTCTGCACCGGCGTCGCCAGCGGATCATAGACAGCCCCGGCCAGGTTGTCGCCCGGCGTGCCGTTGCCGTGGGCGTACAGACTCCGAATGTCGATGAGGCTAGGGTTCAGCTGGTCGACGCTCGTGCACCCAATGAGACGCATGTTCATCTCCATCTCGTCGCGCAGCAGTTGCATGGCGCGGTCGACGCCCTCGAAGCCGTAGCCGGCCATGGCGTAGAGAAAGGGGCGGCCGATGCCGACGCCCTTGGCGCCGAGGCACAGGGCCTTGATCATGTCGGTGGCGCGACGGACGCCGCCGTCGATGAAGATTTCAATCCTGTTCTCGAGCCCTTGCTCGCGCAGCACGGCCATGGTCTCGGCGAGGACCTCGATGGCGCTGCGCGCAAAGTCGAGCTGGCGGCCGCCGTGGTTCGACAGCACGACGCCCTGGACGCCGGCCTCGATGGCGCGCAGCACGTCCTCGACGCGCTGCACACCCTTGAGGATGATGGGCATCTTGGTGATGCTCTGGAACCAGGCAATGTCCTTCCACGACAGCGCAGGGTCGATAAAGGTCGAGATGGCGCGCGCGGCGCCCTGGCTCGTGTCGGTGGCCTGGCCGGACTGGACGTTGCTGCCGGGGTCGGTGAACTTGCTGCGCATGTCCTTCTCGCGGCGGCCGAGCTGCGGGGCGTCGACGGTGATGAAGAGGCCCTTGCAGCCGCGCTTCTCGGCGTGCTCGACAATCTTGCGCGTGATGGCGCGGTCCTTGTTCACGTACAGCTGCAGCCACTGGACCTGGTCGGCGGCGGCGGCGTCGAGCATCTCGTCAAAGGCGCACGAGGCGAGGGTCGGGATCATCTGGATGACCTTGTGCTTGGCGGCGGCCCTCGTCAGGACAACCTCGCCCTCGGGGTGGCCCAGCTTTCCGAGGGCCGTGGCCGTCACGTAAAAGGGCATGTCGACTTTGGTGCCGAGCATGGTCGTGGAGAAGTCGACGTGTTCGACGTCGACGAGGATGCGTGGGCGGAACCAGATGCGGTGGAAGGCGGCGTGGTTCTCGCGCAGGGTCATCTCGTCGTCGGCAGCAGACGAGTAGTAGCCCCAGGCCGTCTTCTTCATGACACGGCGCGCGACAGCCTCAAAGTCCATGAGGTTGTAGCACTGCTCGAGCAGGGGACGCTGGTTGAAGCGCTCCTGGCGGGCCACCTCGTCGGGATCCTCCTCCTTGGTCTCGACGACGACAGAGGCCATGTCGACGGGGCCGAGGTGCTTGGACTTGTCGAGGTACTTGTCGAGGGTGTCGGGAGGGTGTATGGGCTCGTATTCTTCGGTGGCGTCCTTGCCTGCGTACTTCAGGATGATCTTCTGGCCGCCAGGGTGTTCTGGATGCATCGTCAATCTCAGGGCCGCTCATGTTGGTGCATGACGGGGACAGGCGCTTACCAGGCAGGAACTCGGTCACATCGTAGGCCTTGCCGTGCACAATGACCCAGCACGACTTGGCATCATTGTGTTTCGCAATCTCGGCACCTGTGAGGCCCGACTTGAGAGTCATTGTGGCGATGCGTGGTCGTCTGGCTAGCTGGTCGTCTGGCTAGCTGGTCGTCTGGCTAGCTGGTCGTCTGGCTAGCTGGTCGTCTGGCTATCTGGTCGTCTGGCTAGCTGGTCGTCTGGCTATCTGGTCGTCACCGTCTCAGACAAAGCCAACTGTGCTTCCAACAGGGCCAAGACAGAACAATCACCAAGCAGAATGATGGCAATGGAAGAAAAAGTCGACAAGACGGAAAAGACAACGCCCGGCAATTGAGTCTACCGATGAAGTAGCAACAGACTTTCCGCAGGCCCGAGATGACGAAGAGGCAAAAAGATGGGCGAGAAAAAGATGGGATGATGGGATGATGGGAAGAGAAACAGTCGGCATATGCAATGGATGGCGCAGGTGCAGGCGAGGCGCCGATGCTCCAGAATGCCGATTCCCGACGGGACATTTTGCGGTCGCCTGGGTCGCCTGGGTCGCTGCTGCTTCCCCTTTGGAGGTGTGGAGACGGCTGATGACTTTCGCTCGCTCCCTATTAGACCGTTGTCCGCCGAGGGTATGCCTGGGAGGGCGCTAGTGCTAGTGGGGGGCTCGGGTTAAAGGCGTGCGGGGTAACCCCTCCTGGCCGGTCTATCCCCGGTGTGGTCTGGGGTTTGGCGATTCACCGAGGTGTCGTCGGTATAGCCTGCCGTGTCGGTGTGACAGCTCATCCCCTGATGCCAGTCAGCCGCCAGCCAGCGAGCTCCGCTAGGTTCATCTGATGGAGGGTCACTTCAGCCAGCGCCGTTGAAGGACATGCCACCCTTGCCGTCCCAGCTAGCTCCAGCTGGCTGGTCAAACACACAAAGTCTAACGTGGTATTCAATATCAAACGTCATGGGTATAGTACAGCCGCCAGATATGCCCCAAACGCCACCACCCAGCCAAACGACAACATCCTATCCGCTCATGTATATATAGCCCGTCAAAATGTGCTCAGATCAAACCGAGCCTTCCTCGACACAACCACGGCCTAGTACAGTCCACGCGACGATCCCGTCAAGCTTGACGGCCGAAGCGATCCCTTGCGCATCGCCAGCCTCGCGAGCATCCCGGCGGAGCCCCTTCGGTCGCCAGCCCGCTCAGACTGCCCGAGCTCCCGCACCGTGTTCGAATCGACAAAGATCTGCGGGAACAACCCCCACTGGCCCTTGTTGTTCTTGCCAGACCAGCACCAGTGCTCTTCGGAGGACCCTGACAAGTACATCAGCAACGATGCTCCAGCAACGTAGTCGGCAGAGAGAGAGAGAGAGAGAGAGAGAGAGAGAGAGAGAGAGAGAGAGAGAGAGAGAAAACAGCGGCAGCACTTACAGGTAATGTTGGTAATGACCTCGCCCTTGTCGAAACGCAGCCAGTCAACGTCCTTGCCCTTCGGCGCAAACCGCCACTTGGCCACAGCCTCGACACCGCTCGCCGCTCCCATCCTCACCTGCCCCCGCCCCGGCACCTCGAGCCTCAGCACGTCGACGGGCACGCTCTTGTACTCGCCGTCGTGCCAGCCCATGGCCCACTCTCCCTCGTACTTGGCCGGGAACTCAATGCCCACGACCCGAGCCCCTTCTGCGAGCTCAAACGCCGGCGTGCGGTCCCCAAGCATCCGCATCCCGTACATCCTCTTGACCGTCGTCCGCGCCCGCCCCGTAGCCTGCGTCGCAATCTCGTCTTCCTGCCCCGCCAGCGGAGACCGCGACGGCGGCATCTTAAAGTGCAGATCGTAGTTGTTCCTCAGGTTAAACGGAACCTCCCCGCCGTCGACGACCGCGAGGCCCTTGACGTGAGGCAGCGGTCGCGCATGGCGCGCGAGATGTTCGAACAGGGCTCGTTGCGTGAAGAAGACCGTCGCGTCGCTCGGTTCCGTCGTGGCCTGGGCCTCGACACAGAAGACGCACCCATAGAGCGTCTCGTCGGCGCGCTTCGTGGCAATGTGGCTCTTTTGCAGGAACCGAATGCGATAGCCGATCCCCTGCGAGTTGTAGTTTGCCTCGTCTGCCAAATTTTTCTTAGTGCGATGATGTTTGTATGGGATTTCAAGTGACGTACCCTTGTTTTTGACGTCCTGCTCGACGTGCTGAAAGTCCGTCTCGTAAAAGCAATGGGAGCACCGCGCAATAATGTGCATCCCAGCGAAGCCCTGTAGTGGTCAGCCTCATGTGATTCCGTCTTGGGCGACATACGCACAGGCTTCTTCGTCTTCTTGATGCCGATGCCTCCTCGCATGACATCCTTGGCTCCCTCGCAGAATCCCTTGTACAGGTAAAACGAGCTCGAAAGTCCAATGCTGCAGTCCTGCTCCCGCGGCGGCGGGCTCGAGACGACGCCCACTTCTGTGGTCGCCGCATCCACCGGAATGAGTTCTGAATAATCACTCTGGTTCGTCGGTACAGCTTCAATGCCGTCGTGAATTCCAGGTGGGAAATTGGCCGGGATCGTCGGCGCACGCGAGAGGTTCTCCTCTGGCGCCTGTATCGACGTGATGGACGCGCGGTGATCCATCATGGCGGGCGATGTGGTGCCATCACGGCGGCCCTCCAAGACAGAGCTATGTAGAGACTCCTGAGAGCGCTGTCGCGAGGGGTGCGAGTGATCGGAAGAATGGTTGCTGGTGTGGGAGTAGCGGTGGTAGACGTGGCTCGGGAGAATGGTGGCGCTAACAAAGGGGGGTGCCTCGGCGTCTTCAACGGCAGTCTCTTCCGGAATGGTGCCCGTGAAGGAGCGAGCGCGACCTGAGAAGGAGGATCTCTCGGTGGCACATGTTGATTGTTCTGCTGTTGGGGCGGCAACGAGGTCGGGCGAGACGGTGAGGTGGCGGCGGTCGGTAGATTCTTGCATCATGTGGTCGACGCCGATATCGAGCCGCCGGGGCGTGTGAAAGGAGGGTCTTCGGTCACGGTCGTTCTCGACAACAGCGGGTGAAGCGACAGGCGACATGTGTTCGACAGGAGAGTCAATGGCCGAGACGGGACGGCGGCGCTCAACAACGACGACAGGCGAAAACTCCTCGGCAGCTCCCGTGGCGATAGGGGGTGGCATGCGTAGCTCCCAGGGGTTGGCGGCCGGCGGAGGCGGCGGTGGCACGGACGGCTCTTCGATCTTAGGCTCGGGAGTGGTTGGCGCTGGTAGTACTAGTTCGTCAGGCACAGGAGCCGGAACTGGTGCCAGGATAGGTTCGGGCTCCTCGACTGCCGCTGGCGTAGGCAGGCTGGGCTGGCGACCAGGCATCTGTGCCGTATGTGTCGAAGCAGGAGACACAAGTTCAAGGGGGTCCTTGGCCGCGGGTTCGAGCCTCATGCGCATGAGTATCTCGCGAATGGCCAGACCAGCCTCCTTGCACAAGGCCTGCAGCTCGATGAACTTTGAGCGGTCGTAGTCTGCGGCCGTAATGACATCGTCAAAGTCCCACAGTAATAGATCTAGGCGTGATCGGTAGCCTGCAATATCGTCTATCGGGCGCGGTGTCAGTCAGTCTCGGGGTCTACGCTCGCGGATGTGCCACGCAGATGGCTGGTCATACTGTTATCCTTCAGAGCATCAATAAACGCAGCGCCGTGGTCGGCCAGCATTCGATCGCACAGGGGCTCAATCGCCTTGAGGATACGGTCCGCGCCCCGGCCCAGCCTCTGGCCCTCGGTGAGCATGTCCTTGTCATCGCCGGCATTCTGAACGGCTGTGGCGGCCTTGGCGACGATTTCCCGAAAGGGTGTCGCCACGAGGCCCGCGACGAGGTCCATCTGGTGGGATTCGACTCGGGTCGGTGAGCTGTAGGTTGGCGGTTGGGGTCAGGAGGGAGGACGAGGGCGAGGGCGAAGGCGAGGGCGAGGGCGAGGGCGGGTGAGGCGAGGGTGAGCCAGAGAGAAAGGGGGAGGCTGCCTTGGGAGGGCAGCAATATGGCCAAGCCAGGTGAGGTAGTAGGAAGAATGATGAAAGCGGTGCGAGTTGCGGTCGTGTACGAGGTCCTACAGTCTATGTTGGTAGGGAAGAAGCGAGCAGGAACACAAGGTACGAGGTGAGAAGAAAGAGGCCGTCGACAGATTGGGACCGTCGAGCCGTTAGAAGAGCAACGGCGGCCAGCGCAGCAGCAGCGCCAGTCGACCGTGAGCTGCCAGGCAGCCCAGCCTGAGCAGGTTGGCTGCTATGCGGTACCTTGGGTACGTACTGGCAACAGAGCCGTCTGGTTCGGTCCTTGGGCTGTTCGGTTCCTGTTCGCGTCGGTGTCCTGCCTGGGCGCTGAGCGGCGGTCCTAGCTCGAGCTCTACCTGGGAGGGGCTCGCTCGGCTCCCCTATGGTTCAATGCAAGCTGTAAGCCTGCCCGGTCAAGGTAGGGCGGACAGAGAGAGATCGAGAGGAGGGTTGGGTCAAGGACTCGTGGCTGGTAGGAGGAGGGGTGGTGGGGAGGGGGCTAGACTAGGTAGGGAAGAATGGTGGCGGCCGTTACCGACGAGGCTACATGCTGGTATATGCGGGTGCTCGTGATCCTTCTGGCTGTTTGGCCCCATCTCAGCGAAAGCGGGAGCACAGCGTTCGGGTCCGAGGCAGGGGTGGGCGGTGGACGATGGATGATGGGCGGGCGATGATCAGCAGCTGAGCTGAGGTGGTACAAGGACGAAGGTGATGGTCTTGACAGTCAAGCGAGGTGCTGGCTTATTGTCTGGCGCAGGACTGCTTAGTCCTACCTGCCTACCTGCCTACCTGCCTCGGGAGGTACTTTACCTGCCTCTGTAGGTACCTACCGTACCTACCTACCTAGGTACCTATGTACCTTACCTTCCCAAGGTATTATGGAAGGTAAGGGAAGCACGCACCCAGCAAAGAGACTCAAAATAAGACACCCTGGCAGGCGGCCCTCCAGGGCTGCGGAACGTCAACCATGTGGGGTCTGACAGTGTCTCTCATCGTGCATCGAGGGGTAGGATCAAGGCGAGGCCAGCTAGGGGCAAAGGGGGCTACTACAAGCAGCAGGGTGGGTGGCATTTTGCCCTCCTATCTAAGGTGCCTTCGGTGGGCAGCCGCCACGGCACCCAAATGGGGTACTTACCTGCCTACCACCTACCTACCTAGGTAGAGGTAGGTCCAGAGCAAGACGAACAATTGCGGCGCTCACTCGAGAGAGCCCCACTGACAGAGGGCGAGAGGGCGAGAGGACGGTCACGGTCTCAACCCTGCGCTGCCAATTGGCCCACGTCTCACGCCACAAACAACCACGGAACCGCCTTGGTGCCCGCTGTGCGCCGTGTTGCCGCTGTGCGCTGTGGTGCCGCTGTTCCAAGGGGCGCAGCGAACGCCTCCTTGTCGATTCCGTGTGCCCGAGCCCGTCTCCGCCATGCGCAGTCAAACTCCACGGCCTCGAGTCTGCCTCGTGCGGGTCACGAGCAGGACAGAATAACGGTAGGCAAGGAAAAGAAAAAGAAGACGAAAAAACCACAAAAACCACACGGAAAATACCACAACCAACAAAATCCTTTGGGGCTTTGCTCACGAAGGCTTTCTCCGCATCGTCATACATGCCGATTGGGGCGTCTTGGTGTGAGTCCTACAGAAGATGGGTAGTCACTTGTACCAGATCAGAAAGCACACGACTATTTTCGTGTCCCGTCCAGGCTGCTCCGTTCCATTTCCCGCGCTACAAGAATAGAAACCAATGAATAACCAACCAGAAGAAAACACTACGCATCACTTCAATGGGCGTCATTCGTGTCTCGTCATCCTCGACCTCGGCTTGCCAATGTCCCTTCCATCTTGAAGAGGTTCGTGCTCACCACATTCCCTTTCTCTGCTTCTGCAGCGTCTCAAACACCTGCGCCTGCCCACTTTTGGTCGTCTTGCTCAGACGCACACCCGCCTGGCTCGCCGCGGGCACCTCGGTCGCGTTCTGCTCGGGTCTCTCACTGCATCGTGCGGGGACCTTGCAGGCCTCCTCACGAGGAACGCACCTAGAGATCAGAGAACGACCGATCTGGACCGTGTCGTCAATGCCTCGCAG